AAACCCTCCTCTTTCTCACCAGTTGGATTTCTGGAGCTCCACCTGGGGTCTGGCCGTGGATCTCTGCATCCAGTTCCCTCAGTCATTGGATGAGATTTCTAGCACAACAATTAGGGTGTTTGGCCATCCTATCACCAGAGTAGACCGTTTTGGGCTGTCTCTCGACCATTGCCAGTAGTCTATTGTGGAGGTATCTTTGTGGATTTCTGTGGAACTCTCTAGCAATTTGCTTCTTCCTATTCTCATGTGGCCTTCATTTATCATGGTCTCTTATTTCTTGTTCTCCCTCTCTGTTCTTGATTCAGCTGGGATCTCCCACTCCCCTAAGCTCTCTTTCCCTTGACACTTGCCCTTTATTACCCCCACTCATGTCACATCCCTAATCATCAGGTAAATGCAAATCAAAACAACTCTGAGATACCACCTTACACCTGTCAGAATGTCTAAGATTAAAAATACTGAAGACAGCTTATGCTGGAGAGGGTGTGGAACTAGGGGAACTCTCCTCCACTGCTGGTGGGAATGCAAGCTTGTACAACTACTTTGGAAATCAATATGGTGCATTCTCAGAAAAGTGAGAATCAATCTCCCCCAAGACCCAGCTATACCACTCTTGGGCATATACCCAAGGAATGCTCAATCATACCACAGGGGCACTTGCTCAGCTATGTTCATATCAGCATTGTTTGTAATAGACAGAACCTGGAAACAACCTAGATGCCCTTCAACTAAAGAATGGATAAATAAAATGTGGTACATATACACAATAGAATACTACTCAGCAGAGATAAACAATGACAACATGAGGTTTGCAGGCAAATGGATGGATCTAGAAAAAATCATCCTGAGTGAGGTAACCCAGACTCAGAAAGACAAACATGGTATGTACTCACTCATAGGAGGATACTAGATGTGGAACAAGGATTACTAGACTGCTACTCACAACTCCAGGGAGGCTGCCTAGAAAACACTGCCCTAAGAAAGACACAGGGGTTGCCCAATGACAGAGAAATGGATGAGATCTACATGAATATCCTGGACAGAAACATCTTTTTTAAGAAAACCTTGGGAGAGTCTTATATTTGCTGTGCTAAGGATCATCTTGATTCAAATGTTTGGAAGAGACAGTAAAGGTAGGAAGAGCTGGACTGTAGGGAAGATATTTATATGACAGCAAGGAGGGAATGATTAAAATCAACTGGCAATCTGATAGCTGACTAAAGTGACATAAACAGACAAAATACACATGTAAAAATCTGTGCACTTTCTCTATGGATTATCTGAAAAATGTAAACCATGGCACCAGGGAAAAGACTGTACTTCCATGATTACATAGGAAAAGGCCTTAAATTATTTACTCATTTGGCACAAAAGGAAAATGAGCCTCACTCTGAGAACTAGAGAAATCTAGATTTCTGAAGTACTGATTAAAGTACTTCTGATATTTACTGATTAAACAGGAAAGAATAAAAATGAGCAGTGAATGAAGCCTCTTCATAGTTGATTTGTAAATCAAGATAATGAGCATATTGGTATTAGTGGAGAAGCAAAAGTGCAGGTTACACACACATTAAGCCACACTGCTGGTAAGAAATTAAGATGGGTTTTAAGACATTTTGAGACAAGATTTTTTCTTTTTTTTCTTCTCTTTTTTTTAAATAGAACCTGTGTTCTGAAAGAGCATTTAAATACCCATATATATTAGATTCTTGTCACCCTACTTTGATAGAAGGCCCAGTAAAACAATTTATGGGAAGAAATGTTTATTATGTCTTATGATTTCACAAACTATAGTCTTTCATATTGGGGAAAACATGATGGAATGACTTCCTCAAATCAAGTCTGAACCAGGAAGCAGGAATGCGTAGACAAAAGACAGGATTTCTGTTAACCCAAAGTTTTAAATAAAAGTTGTGTGAGTGTCAAAGATAGCAATTGCATCCACAAGAAGCTAAGTTATGTTCTCACTAAAATAATGATGGTATCAGTAGCATATAGCTTTTCTTGATGTTACTATGTCAATTGTCAGATGGTTGTGGTTTCTTATGCATCTGAACATCTCTTAAGGAGATTAACCTCTTGAATATATAAGTTAGTGAAACAGCTGGAAAGGAAAATAGACCTATGAATTAATTTTAATTTTATTTACATTTTATTAACTAAAGACAATCATATGATTTTAACTAACTTCAATGGGAATGGGAATTGTAATCCTTTCTTGGACCCCAAAGATAGAAGAAAAGTTTACCAATGAAAAATAATAAAAATAGTAATGTCTATGATAAAAAAAATTGGTAGCTACACAAAGACTCTTTATTGGTTTGATCCAATATAAGAAAATTGTAAATGACTTAAGAGTTAATATGTGGGTTTTCCTTGGTGTGTGTGTATGCACATACCTTCGTATAGTGCTAATTTAAATATGGAACTTTAATGTAAACTTTATAAGAAATCATTCTGTAAGCTACAGACAATAGGATTATTCTTTTTTATATATTTTTATTTTATAATTAATTTAATTTTTCATATCAGTCACGGATTCCCGTGTCCTCCCTACTCCCACCCCCAGCCTACCCCCCCAATCCACCTCCCATTCTCACCTCCTCCAAGGCAAGGTCTCCCCTGGGGAGTCAGCTCAGCCTGGTAGATTCAGTTGAGGCAGGTCAAGTCCCCTCCTCCCTACACCAAGGCTGAACAAAGTGTCTCAGCATAGACCCTTTTTCCCAAAAAGCCAGTTCATGCACTAAGGACAGGTCCCAGTCCCACTGTCTGGGGGCCTCCTAAATAGTTCAAGCTAATCAGCTGTCTCACTTATCCAGAGGGCCTGATCGAGTTCCATGGGGGCTCCTCAGCTATTGGATCACAGTTCATGTGTTTCCACTAGTTTGGCTATTTGTCCCTGCACTTTTTCCAATCAAGGTCTCAATATCTCTTGCTCATATAATCCCTCCTCTCTCTTGCCTATTGGACTCCTGGAGCTCCACCTGTGGCTTGGTCATGGATCTCTGCATCTGCTTCCATCAGTCACTGGATGAGAGTTCTATCATGACAGTTAGGGTGTTAGGCCATCTGATCACCAGAATAGGTCAGCTAGGGCTATCTCTCGACCATTGCCAGACTGCAACTCACAACTCCAGGGAGGCTAACTAGTAAAGAGGACCCTAAGAAAGACACAGGCATTGACCAATGACAGAAAAGTGGATGAGATCTATAGCAAATTGGACATGATGGTGGAGTAATGGAGGGCAAGGGTTGGGAGAAAGAGAGGTTAGGGGAGGAGGAGGTCCCAGCTGGATCAGGAACAGAGTGGGAGAACAAGTAAAGAGACCATGATAAATGAAGACCCCATGGAAATAGGAAGAAGCAGAGTACTACAGAGGTCCCCAGAAATCCACAAAGATAGATAGACTATTGACAGGATTATTATTGATTTCACCTGATACCGTAGCTTTTCACTAACAGTCCTTTCATGTGTAAGTTAAGGTGAGAGAAAATAGGTCTAGATGGAAAATGTTTCTTTTTCTCATTCTTAGTTTATATCAAAATTTCTACATTTTTTCTTTGAGACAGGGTTTCTCCATGTAGTTTTGTTCTCACTCTGTAGACCAGCCTGCCCTTGAACCTTGAACTCACAGAGATCCTCCTGGCTCTGCATTCCCAGTTCTGGGATTAAAGGCATGTGCCACTGCTGCCCGGCTGAATTTCTACATTTTTTATCCTAAGCTTATGTATGAACAAAACCATACTGATACAATCTGTATAAATGAATTTGAACGATTCAGTATGGATCAGGATGAAAATGAAGATGCTTATGTCATACTACTAAGTAATTTTAGAATTGTGACATTTTATTGCTTATTTCCAATTCAAAAATGTAAACCATTTTCTTTCTGGAGAAAATCTGCAGTCTCCTGTTAAGTGCATATCTTCCAGTTGTGGATTTTTGCATTGGTTCATTTAAATAATATCCTTTCATTATTAATTGAGTTATTCAGTAATACTAAGTTTATTAGTTATAACTTTTTGATGAATCCATAGTATGATGCACTGAAGGTAGGCAGGATCTAATTTTAAGAAGTAAGTCACTATGATATGTCCCTGTCCTTTGCTGTTCCTCTTCTCACTTCATAGCTGCCATGGGGTCTGGCGTTCTGTTCCCCTACTGCCCTTTTCACATGATGCTCTATTTCACTAACCTGGTGGAACTAAAATCACTGGGGTCATTAATGAACTATTTTCTCCTTTTAAATTTATTACAGTGACAAGAAAATTGACTAATACACCAGCTTAAAATTTCTCCAAGTGATTAAGTCTTCCTTTTTAAATCTGGGTTTGTAGACCCATGCTTCCTAAATCAGACAAGTATATTGTTGTCGTCTCAACTGTTCATATACACTTTCAATAAATCCCACTTTCCCCCTTAGACTTAATGCCATCTTTGTTTTCTGATATTTCTCTGGATCCCTTTTCTCTATTCTCCGCTATGCAGTTTCTAGTTGTTACTTTGTTTTCTCTTCTCAGGACAGACCTATTGGAGAAATTATTTTGGCCACTCCACGTAGTTAAAAGGATATTTATTTAATGGTGTAACTCACAAATTAAGTAATGGGTAGGTCGCAGGGTCTGGGGAAGGTGTAACGCAATCCAGCGGTGTTCTCCGGAGCTCTACACAGTCAATCTGCACCGGTCAGCGTTCCGGCACCAAGAGAGCGCCCCGAGAGAGCGCTGACCCATCCTGCTCTCGGGTCCCCCGGCGCCTCCCCTCGCCCCGCCTCGTAGGCGTGACAGTTGCCAGAGTCTCAATGGGGGTTGGAACTTCCAGAACCAAGCTGGAATGGCTACCCACTACATCTCCCCCTTTTTGTCTAAATAAGAAGGTTCTAAACTAATACAAGAC